GAACTTTCATCTTATATAAGAGAAAGGTGAAGACAGCAGAACCAGAGTCTCACAGAGCAGTAGGTAAGATCTCAAGATCTCAACTCTCTAACTCTCTCTCTCTCTCTCTCTCTCTCTCTCTCTCTCTCTCTCTCTCTCTCTCTCTCTCTCTCTCTCTCTCTCTCTCTCCCCCCTCTCTCTCCTCTCTCTCTCTCCCCTCTCTCTCTCTCTCTCTCCCTCTCTCTCTCTCTCTCTCTCTCTCTCTCTCTCTCTCACACACACACACTACAATCTTCTCACTCTGCCCTGCTCTGCATGGAATTCTCCATCCACGAGGAGGCTGCATAGTTGAAACAAGGAAACTCAGAACCGTGTGTTCTTCACTCATTACACCTCTAAGGAGGGGAAAGGATGTGTCAAAGCCTGTTTCCTTCTGCAAGCCCAGAGTTCTTTTTAAGCTCACCTCAATCTCCCCACACACAGCCAAGCACATAATAGAGGGACTTGAGTCTCTGAGGCCATGCAACCCCACCCACAGCAGGGGCAAAAACTTTTGTAGACTCAGTGATGCTTCTCAAAGTACAGGGGTCAGCAGTACCAAGCGTTTGCTTGGTTCTCGGCACAGAAACAGTGCTTCAAGGGAAGGGGCTCCTTCCTTTGCCTACTTTCCAAATTTTCTTCTTCCTGCTGGTAGTCTCATACAAAGCAAACACACAGCACAGAATGCCAACACCCTGACCCCTGTCTCCTGGCTCATGTCTGCCATCCAATCACCAAGTGACCTTAGGCAGTCACAGGTCAAAGACACTCTCAGGCACTGTGAGACCTTCTTGAGTTGCCACATGGGCTACAGAAAGCTGTGGCAGTGTCTGAGCAGACCCAGAAGACCACCCCCCCCATATACCTCTTGTATAAAGACACCTGGACATCACTAACTCTAACCCCCATATACCTCTTGTATAAAGACACCTGGACATCACTAACCCTAACCCCCATATACCTCTTGTATAAAGACACCTGGACATCACTAACTCTAACCCACCAGCTCCACTTTAATCATCACACAGCTTTCTAAGGCTTCCCTTGGTTCCTTCCAGGATGAGGACTCTCCTGACTCCCCAGGTCTCTGCTGGCACAGCACTTGCTTGGGGTACCTACCTGGTTCTGACTCCTCACCTCCTGACCTGGACACTCTCTCCCCTTGTATGGGAAGTCCAGAACAGTGCTCTCCCATGCTCCTCTCTCCTGTGCCTTTGCAATGCAGGGTCTGACGCAGACCAGTCACCACCGCAGCATCGCAGGCCCTTCTCTGCAGACGCAGGATGGTCTAAGGTTGCTTCTGTCTGAGGAGGGAGCAGAGCCAGGTCTCAGACAGAGAGGGCTCAGAAACCTTGCTGCTTCCTTTTTTCCCACCACAAGCAGAGTTTCCTGCTAAACATTGATGAAATGTATCAGGAGGTTTAACTGGTGAATAATAGATAATCCTTAGCCCTTTCCATAAAATTCCTCCAGTTGATAATGGTGGTAGGGTTGGAGACATTTGCTCATGTGCAGCATCTCAGCTCATCTCTCCAGAGCTCTAGGTGAGGTAAACGTCATTTCCCTTGTTTGATGTGTGAGGGAGCAGTGGGGACACACATTGAAGTTACAGTCCCACCCCTTACCAGTTGACAGAATCTGGGAAACCCATTGGCCTTTTAAACTGTTCTGTCACCTCATCTATGGGACAGAAGAAATGTTGGTTGCAAACTATGTGACTTAGTATCACATAGCTAAATCGAAAGTGGCAATTTGTGTTTTAACCAACTAGAGACCCTAACAGTAGAGGCGGTTTTCTATACCAGTGCTTTTCTGTTACTCTTACTGAGTTTAACCCTTTCACTCCTCTCCCTGTTTCTGGTTTTGTTTTTCAGTAAAGCCTGTTCTCACGAGCTATTTCTGATGGTAGTTTTTTCCCCCTCTACACTCCTGCGTTTTGTTTGATCTTGGCTTTTGTTCTTGTCTGCTTTCCTGTTTCTTAATTTGTTGTTTGAGACAGGGTCTCACTGTGTAACTCTGGCTGGCCTGTAACTTGTCATGTAGACCAGGCTGGACTCAAATACACTCTCTGTCTCCTGAGTTCTGGGATTAGAATCAAGCCAGGTGTGGCTTTGTTCTGTGTTTTGTTTTGCTCATTTTATTTTGTTGACTGTCCCTGTTGCTAGGTTTTTGGTTTTGTTTCAAGACAGAGATGTTTTGGTTCAGTTGGTTTCTTTTTTGAGAAATGATCTTTCTATGTAGCCCAGTTGGCCTAGAATTTGCTATGTCAACCAGGAAGGCCTTATGCTACATTGATCTTATTGCTTCTGCTCTGTCAGAGTTGCAGCATAGTGCTTTGTTTTGACTGGAAATCACACACAGAGTGTCCCACATACCAGGCAAGTGTTCCTTGTACCATGTGTTCACACCCATAGCCCCTTGCTTGCTTCTTTTCCCACCTCATAATCTCTGTTGGAATGTAGACATTTTTGGTAACTTATTGTAGCAATTAAAGGTCCCAGTCTCCTTTTCTGGGTTTGTTGTTGTTTACTTATTTGTTTAAAGTCCAGCATTACCATGAACTGATGCTAGTGATGCCAGAAAGGCTTTGTTCTCCTTCCTGATCACACTCTAATCAGTCTGCACTCATTGCAACTAACAGGGGTTTTAACAATGCTCTAAGTCACTACAAAACAATCCCATTCCTTTCCATTCCATCCTGTCCCATCCCACCCCACTCCACCCCACCCCAGCCCACTCCACTCCACCCTACCCAATCCAATCCAGTCCAGTCCAGTCCAACATAATCCAGTCCAGTCGAGTCCAGTCCAGTCCAGTCCAGTCTAATCCAATCCTTTGAAAGAATGTTTGCTGCCATAGATGCTCTTGTCCTGACTGGTAGAGTTTTGTGGTCTTTCTGCATTCTAGATTCCTGCAGTCTGAACTGCATCATCCCAACTCCTTAAGTCTTCCACAGCTGTCTTTCAACACAACCTACACTGTGCTTGGCACCATGGGGCTTCCAGGTCTCCATGCTCTATTGCAAATGAAGCCAGTTCTTTCAGGAAAAGATTAAGATTTATCTATTTTTGCTCTGTTTTTTTTTTGCACAAATCTCACAGTTAAGACACCAGAACTGTCTGTGAAAGAAGCTGTCTTCTTTTGGTGACCCTCCCTCTAGGAGAGAGCATTGTGGGTATGGAGACAGCAATCTTGGGCCCTGTCAGTTTTCCCTCCTTCCATGAAACCAGGAGTTCAAGCTTAGTCAAGGTTCAACAAGTCCCTCAATCCTCAGCACTCAACACTGAGCTAAAGACTCCATTCTACAGGGGACAAGAAAGCTGCCTCTCTTCTACTGCAGAGACTGAGTCTTAGTTCTAGTAAGAGGCAAATGAAGGGGAGGGAAGAAACACACACACACACACACACACACACACACACACACACACACACACACACACACACACTGTAGCCATGGGAGAGAGAACTCTGTTTCCCAGGTTCCTGCAACTCCAGTGGACACTTTTCCAGGGCTAGCTAGGGTTACCAGGAAAGTACTGCTCCTAACATCCACACCCTCATCTTCTTCATCATTCCTCATCTATCTATTGAAATCGGTGCTTAGGGCCATTTCCAGGGTTTTTCCATTCATCATTTACACCTTTCCCCAGTCTCCCTGAAGTGCGGTTCATGGACTCTCCATACCACCATGTTGTAAGTCAATTACATACTCCCATATATTTTCAACTTCAATGGTCCTACTGTTCACGACGAGGCTAGATTCCTTGACAGTGGCGATGTCCCTTTGGCAGATAACTATATTTCCCATAAAGACTTTTGCATTAAAGGAGCATTAACCTGATTACTTAGAATGTTTTTATTTTTAATTATTGTGTTGATTGAAATGGGCAGTTTAAACTGTTTTTTATAAATTATTTGTATATATAGTGCATTAGGCAAATTAGACTCATCAAAATTATATGCCAATTATTGTGGTATTACCATTACAGTATGAATTACACATAATAAAGGAAAGAGGCTTGCAATATATCTGAGAGTGGAGCATTTTCTAGCATACATGAATGTGGAGCTGGGCTCAAATCCTAATGCCACAAAATAAGTAAAATGAATATATAAATAAAGAATGAAATACATTTGTTCTAAAATGAGAGAGGGCATAATTTTAATGGGGAAAGACTGTATATCAACAAAATCATTAAAGGATAAATACTAACTGATGGAAATAATTTTTAAGAATAAAGAAAGGAGGCAGGCATGGTGGACCATGCCTTTAATCCCAGCACTTAGGAGGCAGATACAGGCATATCTCTAAGTGTTCAATACAAGCCTAGTCTTAGGGGGAGTTTCAGGCATCCAGATTTATAAGCTGAGGTCCTGCCTCAAAGAAAAAAGAAAGAAAGAAGGAAGGAAGAAAGAATAGAGGTATAAACATTAAGTTACATGATATTATAAAAATAGCAATAAGGTACAATAGTAACGTAAGGAACATTTCCCCATCACATTAATTGAATAAGGATAATTGGATAAAAAATGAAAATATGAACACTGAATGTTCCAAGGAGGTTGTATCTGCTTGGGAAAACTTCAGGATGATTTTTCTTTCAATACACTTTTCTGCAGCTTGTGTGTGTGTGTGTGTGTGTGTGTGTGTGTGTGTGTGTGATACAGCTAAACATGTAGTTCATGAGTGAAACACTTGCCTAGAGTACACAAAGAATTGGATTCAGTCTGGGTCTGAGATTATCCTTATGGATGGGGATGATGAGGCCTTGTTATGTTGTTAAAGCTGCCTTTAGCATCCTAAGCTCAAATTATTATTCTCAGCCTGTTGAGTAGCTAAATTATGAGCAAATGCTGTCACACCTCGCTCTAAGATACTTATAATATGAAGGAAGCAGTTGGCTTTGTTCATGCTCATTCTCCATCTAATTATGAGCACTTGGTAAGCATTTCTTGGTGCTCACATTGCAGAAAACTGGGGAATGGATGGAGGCAACCAGAGCGGGGACTCTGAGTTCCTACTCCTGGGGCTCTCAGAGGTTCCCGAGCATCAGCGCATCCTGTTTTGGACTTTCCTGTCCATGTACCTGGTCACAGTGGTGGGGAATGTGCTCATCATCCTGGCCATCGGCTCTGACGTGCGCCTGCACACTCCCATGTACTTCTTCCTGGCCAGCCTCTCCTTCACTGACCTCTTCTTTGTCACCAACACAATTCCCAAGATGCTGGTGAACCTTCAGTCCCAGAACAAAGCCATCTCCTACACAGGATGCCTGACTCAACTCTACTTCCTGGTGTCTTTGGTAGCCTTGGACAACCTCATCCTGTCAGTAATGGCATATGACCGTTATGTGGCCATCTGTCGTCCCCTCCATTATACTACAGCCATGAGCCCTAAACTCTGTATTTTGCTCCTCATCTTGTGCTGGGCGCTATCTATCCTCTACGGCTTCATCCACACCATCCTTATGACCAAAGTAACTTTCTGTGGGTCTCGGAAAATCCACTACATCTTCTGTGAAATGTACGTCCTGCTCAGGCTTGCATGCTCTGACACCCACATCAATCACATGGTGTTGATTGTCACGGGATGTTTCATCTTCCTTGCTCCTTTTGGATTCATGATTATATCCTATATCTGGATTGTCAGAGCTATCCTCAGAATTCCCTCAAGTTCTAGCAAGTACAAAGCCTTTTCTACCTGTGCATCCCATCTGGCTGTTGTGTTCCTCTTCTATGGGACACTTTGTATGGTGTATTTGCAGCCCCTGCACACCTATTCCATGAAGGACTCAGTAGCCACAGTGATGTATGCAGTGGTGACACCTATGATGAACCCTTTCATCTACAGCCTGAGGAACAAGGACATGCATGGGGCTCTGGGAAGACTTCTAAGACTTCTAAGGAAGCCAATTCAAAAGTTAACATGAAGTTTGTTTTGGGAAAAAGGAAGTGAGTGGAGTGTATATATCCTTCAATGCTTGTAAATCACTATCCTATGAATTATGCAGGAGGGTTTGAACACATCTGGCTCTGAATGAACCTATGTGATGATGGAAAGACAAGTAAATACATCCTTGCATACCTTGCATCTCACCAACTTTGGTAATAAACAAGTTCACACTAATGCCAATACTAGAATATTTCAGGGTTGAATTTTTCAATGTGCCTAACCATAGGACCACATTCTCATCCTTGTCCAGACATACTCAGTTATAACATAGAACCATCTCTTCTGTTGTCTCAAATACATCAAATGCACAAATAACAATTAGTGACTGATTAGAAGGTTGGTCATTGGGTTGTGGTGATTTGGAGGAAATCATTTAGAAATGAATCAGCAGAGCCAGCAGGGCTTAAAACTGTGGAAAGCAAAGTTCACTTGATGCTGTAGTCATTCTTCTATTCACCAAGATATTCTATTGAGACTGACTGAGTGTCTCTTAAAACCTTCAAACTGGGTTGCAATATGAATGTGGACTTCATAGCCAATTTGAGAAATAGTAAAAATGCATGCAATTGAACCTAACTCATTAGTTAAAATGCAATGTTTACCATGCTGATTTAAAGGTGTGCATCTGTCTGTTTAAAATAAAAATTCTAGGGCTGGAGAAATGGCTTAGCAGATTAAGAATACTTGCTGCTCTTCCAGAGGAGCAAGGTTTGATTCTACCTGATAACTCACAACTATCTGCAACTCCAGTTTTAGGGACACCACCACTCTCCTTTGGCTTTTGTGAGAACCAGGCACAGATAGATATGCAGGTAATACATTCATACAAATAAAATTAAAATAAATAAATATCTTAAAATAAAACAAGTAAACAAACAAAAGGAAGAAAGATGTTGCAGTTGAGGATGAATTTCAAGTTAGAACTCACTACCCCTCCTGCTTTTAGGGAAATATCCTTATCTATTTGAAAGTTTTCCTCATATCTTGTAAGTTGTGATACATATAAAGAAGCTAGAGATATCTTTATGAGTCTGTGAGACATCCTTAAAACATATGCCCCTGGCCGGGTGTTGGTGGCGTATGCCTTTAATCCCAGCACTTGGGAGGCAGAGGCAGAGGCAGGCAGATCTCTATGAGTTCGAGGCCATCCTGGTCTACAGAGCAAGTTCCAGGAAAGCCTCCAAAACAATACAAAAAGCCAAAAAAAACAAAAACAAAAACAAAAAACCATATGCCCCTGTAATACTCAGGATAGGATAAGTGAAACAAAATAAACTTAGAAAGGTTGACAAGATTAGGTGATCTTAGGGAGATTGCCACAGGTCAGTTTATAAGCTTATTCCTGTACACTCAGGAAATTACACACAGCAGCTAAGTTACCTCCGGCCTACACAGGGACTTACATTGCTGGGCAAAGAGTGATGTAGAAAGATGGCAAAAGAATGAGGTGTCAGGAGAGGAGAGGAGGACGTGAGGGAGCAGGAAGGTTGAGTCAAGGAGCCACTATAGGTTTGAGAAGAGATCTGGTACTAGGGAGTTTTTCAGAGATCTACAAGGATGACACTAACTAGCAAACTGATAATGGAGATGCTACCTTAAATGCCCTCCCTTGATAATGATATTGATGACTACCTTATATGCCATCCTAGAGCCTTCATCCAGTGGCTGATGGAAGCAGAGACAGACACCCACAGCTAAACACTGAACTGAATTCTTGGAAACCTGTTGCAGAGAGGGAGGAGTGATGAGCAAAGGAGTCAAGACCTGTTTGGTGAAATCCACAGAGGCAGCTGACTTGAACAAGGGGGAGCCCTTAGACACCAGACTGGTGACTGAGAGACCAGTATGGGACTGACCCAGACCCTCTGAATGTGGTGTCAGTGAGGAGGCCTCTGCAATCTATGGGGCCTTGGATAGTAGAGTAGTATTTATCCCTGGTGTACAAATGGACTTTCGGAGCCCTTTCCACATGGAGGGATGCTGTCTCAGCCTGGACACATGGGGCAGGGAAGGATAATATGACAGACTTGAAGATCCCCCATGGAAGGCCTCACCCTCCCTGAGGAGCGGAGGGGGAATGGGATGGGGGGCTAGGGGAGGTTGGTGGAGGGAGGGTGAGAGAACTGGGATTGACACGTGAAGCAAGCTTGTTTCTCATTTAAATAAAATAAAAAATGGAAAAAAAGAATGAGGTGTCAGGGCCTCCCTTTGTTAGAAAAGTCAGCTCATGCAGAGCTGATGTGGTGTCATATACCGAGGAACAAAAAAAATCCCATGATTAGACATATAAAGAAATTCTATAAAGATATTGCCGGGCATTGGTGGTTCACTCCTTTAATCCCAGCACTCCGGAGGCAGAGGCAAGTGGATCTCTGTGAGTTCAAGACCAGCCTGGTCTACAGAGTGAGTTCCAGGACAGCCTCCAAAGCCACAGAGAAACCCTGTCTCAAAAAACAAAAAAATGTATTATGCTAGAAACTGAATAATAACTGAAGCAACTTTGGCCTGAGGATATTCTTATGCACTCTGACAATTAATAGTTAATAATATACCACTTGGGGCATAGCATTCTGCCTGGGCTGGCTTAGAGGTTTTCTTTCTTAGTGTCCTTAGAGCCACAAAATCTGGCAGCCTGAGAAGATGTTGTCATATGCCTCTAGATTCTTAAGGTTTGGGTTATAGAGTTGATGAGTAAAAATGATTATAAAAGATAACTCTTTATCAATGATGACTAAGCTAGGGAAACTCATTGCAAAATATACCTCTGTTCTGTCATGATTTATCATTGATGAGTAAACTTATGACCCCAAATGTGCAAGAGAAAAAGTTAAACACATGTCCAAAGACAAAAATGATATGATCTCTGTTTTGGAACAACATGAATCTATCCTGGCCTACTGAATTGTGTATAAATAAAAAAGTGCTCTGTAGACAGTCAGGCTACAAAACTGTTGCCACCACAATGGCCTGACTCACTTCTTCCTTTGCCTACTCCTTTGCCTACTCTGGAACCTGTCAACCACTAGGCACATCCCCAGCAATCAGTCTATAAAGACAGAGAGAAATGACTCCTGTATATTGCATTCACCAAGGAAATGCATCAACAAACAAAATGAAATGAAGTTCCAATAATTGTCTTTATGGTAGTTTAGCTCTTAAATGTCCCCCTACAAGATCACATGTTAAAGACTAGGCCCCAGTTCAGCAGTGGTCAGCCTCAAGGAGGTAGCTGTGTGATGAGGATTCTACGCAATGAAGAGATTCACCCATTCATAGATGTATCATTGATGAATAATAAGAAAAGACTTCATTACAGAATCAAGCTCCCTGCTTTGAAGTAACTCTGAGCTGAGCAGTTTTCTCCCACCTCCTCTTCTACCTAAGCAGCTGGGCCAAGTGACCAGGGGCTGAAACTGGGGCAGACAAGCACCAGAGCTGCTTAGAAACTCCAGATACCACTCATCTTGGGCTATGCACACACATCTCTCTGAACACCTAGCAACCTGTTAGCAGTGTAGGAGCTCACCTGCTCTGAGCTGCATCTGCATCTGCTGTAAAGGATGGGAGCAAGTCACTCCCCCTAACAGTCTCCTAACAAAGGGCATTCAAACTCTTCCCAGAACACTGTCCAAGGACCAAGAGCCATGGCTGATCTGACTTAAACTGGTTTTGGGTGCATGCACAATAGTGCACAGTGTGTCCTGAAAGGAAATTTCCAAGGAGAATCCTCTGTTTCCCACCTTATGTCCATGCACAACGGATTAAGATGTGATGTATTACAGGAAGGAATATGCACAATAAGCCAAGGATGACATAATCTAAGTATGGCAATCAAACAAGCAAGGAAGGGTATGTGGGTGCCTTTGGATGAAGGAAAGGGAGGGAGAAGTGGTGTGATTGTGTTATGTAGGGGAGAGCTCACACCCTTAAGAGCTAGACATGAATTTTAAAACACTTTGTCTCTCAGCAACCAAATTCTTCCGTCTCTTAAACTCTTTAAAAAGAAGCCCCAAACAGTAACTTGATTCCCTTGATACCCTCACTTTGATGGCCTGCTGTCAGCTTGAAGGTGTGTCTCATCTGCTCTATCACTTGCAGTTTCCTGGCTGTTTTTACCAATATGTATATGGTCTTTACATATGAAGACAAGAACCTGGAAACACCTGGCCCAGACCACAACTTCTGGCAACAACCCTCTGAAACCATGAGCCAATACAGATATGTTCTTCCTGTAAGTTATTTATCTCAGATATTTCGTCACAGTGGCACAAAGCTGACTATCATACTATCCATGAGGAGATGGGTGACTAGCCTTCTTCCATGACCTACACAAGGGCACAGATAAACAGATAAACAAAATGAAGAAACTGACACAGAAATAGAATGTGAAGTTTAGTTAGCAGAAGCTATAAAATAGGAGCAATAATATTGGAGTCTAGCCACATATAACTGGAATGAAATAAATCAACAATGGACTTCAAGAGCAGACCTGATCAAACACAATGAAGAGTCCTCTATGTGAAAGTGTTACCCTGTTAGATGAGCAAAATGTGAGAGAGTGAAAGGATGTGAAAAGTATCTGTGGGACTTAAGAGTATCATTCAAGTGAGCCAATACTTATACTATGGATTTTCTATAAGAAGAGAAGGAACGGGGATGTTGGGAACATAGCATGGAGGTCTTTGAGCCCACAGATCTCCAGAGAAACCAGGAGTGTTAAGCACACAGGATTGTCTTTCCAAGGGGAAAGATGAAAAATTTGTTCTTCCATCCAGAAAACTGGGAATTGGAAGTGATCTGTGTTATCTGTTGGACTAGAACTTATCAGTCTCTTACAACCAAGACCTGAGTTGGCTAATAGACCAAATGACCTCTATGATATCTGTATGAACGAGACCAGAACAGACTCTAAGGCTCTTAAACTAGGATAGGTAGTGTTGTAAGTTTAAAAGTGTGCCAGAGAAAGATGCCATGTGA